GGTCTTACTTGGTGTATTCGATCAGGCCCAGTATACTCTACCGCCACTTTGGGGAACTTACCCCTCACCCGCCCTGCCCCTTTTCTTTTCTTTCCTCGCTTCTGTTGTTTGTTTGTTCTTTCCTTCAGGCTTGTTTGGTTGGCTCTTAGGCTCGTTTCGCTATCCCCCCTTCCCGCGGAGCAAAAAGAGAGTGCGCCGAACGACGGCTTTTTGTGCGTGTCAACACCTGTCTCCAAGGAATTTGACCACACTAAGGAACTTGTAATTCAAGCGACAGTAGCGGGGGGCAGTGCACGACTGACAGACACTGCCCAACGAGGACACTGTCAGTTCGTGGTGAAGCTGGGACGCCGCCTTGTGTACCTGGACCAATTGTTTAATACACCGTAAAGAACTAATGAGTTTCCTCCGTTTCACCCATGTTAAACAACACTAATGATGCAGACTCCTCCACCTTGCGGTTTATCAGCCAAGGTCTAATCTGCAGTAAGCGTAAAGGGCTAGTCTCACAGGGAGATCAAAGCTGATACTGCTCTTACGAGCCTTTATCTAAGTGTGTGTGTGTGTGTGAATCAAGGAGTTCATTTGTTGTACTTAGGTTGGAAAGACCACTAGACCCATCCGCATCTCACCAACAAACTGCTCTTCACTATTGATGGGGTTCCAGTGGGTGCCGCTTTGATTGTTTTTGAACATCGACTGGACAGAATTCTGAAGGTCCACTGGTGGCAGGGGCAAGCAGTCTACTGCCGTAGCCGTAGCTGCCGTCGGTGTCGTTTGTTCCTCCAAACAGGAGGCCATGCCATTTATCGTTGATTCTGCAGGGATTAATGGGTGAGAAATGTGTGATTGACATGCTGAACAGACGCCTGGGAACATGCGCAAAACCCCCCTAAACATGGCAGTCACCAATGGTGGAATTGTGGCTGTCAAAGGCCTTTTGCAAGATACACACCCTCAGCCCTATGAAGTGGTCCAAAAAAGTAAGATGCAGACCTGTTCCGTCTGCTAATTGTTTTTTGTTTTGTGGGTTCATACGAGTATGTCTTCCAACAAGTAAGGTAAGCCCCCCAACAAGTAAGTAAGTAAGGTAAAGTAAAGTAAGTAAGTCAGTGAGTAAGTAAGAAAGTAAGTGAGTGAGTGAGTGAGCAAGTAAGTAAGTAAGTAAGCAAGTAATAGAGTAAGAAAGTATGCAATTGAGTAAGTATCGTAAGTAAGTAAGGTAAGTAAGTAAGTAAAGTAAAGTAAAGTAAGTAAAGTAAAGTAAAGTAAAGTATAGTAAAGTAAAGTAAGTAAGTAAGCAAGTAAGTAAGTATCGTAAGTATCATAAGTAAGTAAGTAAATAAGTAAGTAAGTAAGCCCATGGTAAGGAGCTATATACGTAGCAACTGTAGTATAGTATAGTATAGTAGGCCCCATAGGCAGGTGGGCACCTCAAACATTGTTTGGTTGTATGTCTGGTATTGCTGAAAGCGATGCCACAGCGACAGGCGATAGGTCCATAGGCCCTAGGCCCTAGGCTTCGGAAGACGCTCAAGTATGTCATAGTTAATCAATACGTAGCTAAACGTCAGCAGCAAAAGCTTTAGCCATTAGCCACCAAGCTACTTTTGGCATTATCTACAAATCTTGTCTAGGGTCTAGGCCTCTAGACACAGGAGGGAGGACACTGACAATCTAGAATCTAGAAAGACTCGACTATGGCTGGGCGGCGTTCCATTCTCATTGCTAATGACGCTACTGCTGGTAGTGATAGTGACTTGAGCTTAAACGGGATTTGGCGTTGGGAGGACGTATTTACTGTATATTAATTGGAAGCCTACGGGCCTGGGCCTGAGCCCGGGCCTGAGCCCCAAGCCATCACTTCCTTGCCTGTGCCCTTTGTGACTCTGCGCAGTATTTGAGGCAGAATGTCGGCGTGACACAAGGCTTGCAAGAGAAGTGGGAAGAGTCGTGCAGCCTCATCCTAGACAAAAACCAGGAGAAGCCAAAGGAAGATCCCAACAAAGTGTTCAGGCCAAAGATCTGCAAGGAGTTTGGCGTGTGCGTTTGTGGTGCAAATTCGGACAGTTGCCCGGATGCTTTGTAGTGTCATGAGAGGTTGGTTTTTCTCATGAAGCACTTCATGCTTGTCAGGGACAAGACCAAGCCAAAGACCCATCTAAGACTGCTTCTGGAACAGCGCTTGCTTGTGTTTCGGGTTTTGCCACAGCACGCCTCAGGCCGCGAGCTAGAATCAGACGATGGGTCCTTGTACTTTTGCATCGGGTATATCAACCTGAGCAGTTGAAGATTTTGCTGTGTTCAGTTGGCCTTCCATTGCAAAAACGGTGATGTTGTGACAACGCGCGTCGTCAAAGATGACAGCCAAATCCACTTCTCTGTGAGAACTTCAGTCCAATTTTTTGTTGAGCTGGTAGACTTTCGGAGAAAGTGGGCCGTGCAGTTCCTCGAGGTGTTGGATGACACGTTTTCTCTCGAGCACCTCTTTTGGCAGGGGTCACAAATTGAGGCAAAAGCAAGACGAGACAGCGCAAAGGGCAAAAGGGGTCCCAGGACCAATCGACCCCAAGCCAAAGCCAAAGGCAAATCCAAGATGTCAAAGGCAAGGCCGAAACCCAAGAGCGCTGCCATGCAGTCTGCAAAAGATGGCCTACAGCCCATCGAGGACAACAGTGAAGACGATGGAGAATCTGAAGAGAATGAGGAGAACCTTGCGCTGAGAGATGCAGAGGCCTCTGAAGAGGAGAGCGAGGTTGACTTGGACAGCGCTGAAGAAGCGGAAAGTGATCAGGAATCAGTCGGGTCAGCTTCCATTGCTTCGCTTCTGGAATCTGCATCCTTGGAAGAAGAATTGGCTGAGCAAATTTCTGAGCCGAAAAATGACAAACCCCAAGAATCTGAAGTGGTCGAGCAAAGTGCTGCGCCTGAGGCAGGTGAGCCTGGGGCGGCTGCGGGTAGGGCGCCTGAGCCTCAGCCCAACTTGGAAAAGGAGGGCGGGGGCCGGAAGAACAATGATGGATTAGAAAGAGCAGCAAAGCGTGGTGAGATCAATCAGAATTGTTGATCATGGCGAAATCAGATACAATCAATCCGGCTTCATGAGAGCGATGTGTGCAAGACACAGCATCCCTGGCTTCGCTTGCTCGAGGCAAAGGACAACCTTGGGTTCTAGTGGTGGTCGTGGACGCCCGATCGGTGAGCTAGTTGCATGGCTCCAAGATGGACAAAATTTTGACAACCCGGCGGACCATGGAAGATCAGCTGGCAAGTCTTATCAGGAAAGATTGGACGCAAGGCGGTGGTTCTACACTTTGGACGGTTCTGCCCATTTTGCAGATCTGTATGAACGGAAGCAAGGTGCTGGTGAGTCAGAAGAACCCAGCAAAGTTCACAAGGTTCGTGGATCTTAGCCGCCAGCCATCAGTAGCCGAGCCATTGCCATTGGCCATATGCCATAGGCCCTTCTTGTTTTGACAAAGTCAGCCTGGTCCTGTGCGCGCTCAACCGTTTGCAAAACAACATGCCAGGTCACAGCTGCTTTCTGGCTGTGCAGTGAGAGAGACCTTCCTGTTTTATGTCTTGCTTGGTTTGCCTTTAATTGGGGTTTACCTTCTTGCCAGGGTCTGCCCCCGTTGCCTGAGGTTTACCCCCCGTTCGGGCGCCGGTAGCGTTCTCGTTCGTACGCGCTAATGGATACACGGTGGAGTTTTCGTTCATGGGCGCTGGTAGCGTTTTCGTTTCGTTCGTACGTGGGATTGGACAGGATTCTCTGGCGCCCCCCTCGGCAGGGGTCGGCGGAATATATAGAGATCACGAGATGATCTATTATCTCTATAGGTACTGAATATTCCTACAAGGTCAAGGTTCTGTTCTCATTCTTGGCTTGCAGAGGTCTGTGACCGTAAGCGCCCGAGCAATAAATTCGGGCGATGCCAAAAAGGTTTTACCGCTCAGCCCAGCTTGAACGGAATGACCTTCTGACGAAATCGAAGCAACACCGTGCCGGTCTGAGTATGTGCGTGTATGTGCGCTTTGCATAGTACAGTTTTTTCAGAGTAGATGGCATAGACCCCATGATGTCCTTTAGATGGAGGTCCATATAAACTACCTCTTGGGGTCTGTGCCATCTACTCTCAATCCACTATAGTTGCAAGTCCTCCTCATGCCCAAAAAGCCGGTAAAGATTGGTGTCCACGCAGACCAACCGAGACCGATCGGGGGCACGGCGCCCGCGTGCCGCCGCCCGAGGTTTCGGGCGAGTTCGCCCGGCCGTGTGAGGCTAGATCGCAGATCTGTTTGGTTCTTGGGGCTTTGTCCATGACATACACAGACTCCATGAGTTTGTGAACCACATGCGAAAGAATCGAAAACATCCAAACATGGGTCAAAACCTGAAACCCGACCAGTCCACCATGTAGGTCAACCGCTGGGTCTCCTGGTGCCAGCTCTCCGCAGCCATGTCCAAGCATTCCATGTGACTAGTCCATGTGACCTACATCGACTTTGTATGTTGAGTGTTCCCTTTTTCAGGATTCGTCGTTTCTGGTACTTTGGCGCAGAAGATGGTCATCAATAATTCCTACAGTATCCGCAGTATCTGTAATTATTATCCTATGATTGTTACATGTTGGGGGTTCTCGATACTACTCTTTCTTGAGATTTGAATTGGGAAGAGATATAGGATCAACATCAACCAAAACATTTCAACCGTTTTGTTATGTTGACCCCTTTTTGGCCAAACCATGGGGTCCTCTCTGGCCCTATCGATATACTAAGGACAGAACAAGGACACCTCTTAACCTCCAGAAAAACCCTAGAGGCAATCAACAGACAATGTTGGGGGCCCCAAAGTCGAAACAGTTGCATTCCTTCGGCCTCGTCGAACACATGTTCTGCCGGACAGGTCAGGACGGCGTCGCTCCAGGTTCGGACGACGTGGGTGGTTGGGTTGGTGGGTCGGTCGTTCTGAGGAAGTGGACTTGTGGTCGCTGGGCATCATGCTGTTCGAATTCGTCCTGGGGCCCAGGACTTCGCGAGTTCGCAGAAAGTCATGAGACGAGGAGAGGTGCTAAGGACGACTAAGGAGTACAGAAGGATCTATTATTTCTCGGGTTTCAAGAGAGGTGCAATGGTTGCAAGAGTATTGGAAACCAGGTTAGGCGAACGACGAAGTGGGTTGGAGTTTCAATTGAGTTAGTTTGCTGGAGAACTTCCGCAGAAGTCCTTCATGTTTATCAAAGACTCGGACATGAAGCGGAAACATGTGGCAGAGCCACGAAAAACACAACCGGTCTTCTTCACGTCACTGCCTACGTCAATGTTGCCAGATGAGCAACCACTTCTATATATTTAGGCTGGACCAAAGTAAAGTGGTCTATGGCATCCTCTGTTTGCGTGTCTATCATTAGTATTCCCTTGTGAACGAGATGGGCCCCCCACATAAATGAGATACTTTTGTTTGATGACACTGAAGTACTCTGAACGAGATAGTGTGATCTACTAAAGTAGTCTGAACGAGATACTGTGACATGACCTCCTACTTAAGTACTCTAAACAAGATAGGGCCCCCACATAATACTGTCATAGTCTTTTTGAGTTTAGCATCAAATCAATGCCGTCACTGCCCTGCCTTTAAGCCGAGATCCGGACAATTCCTATCGTTCGAGGTCTGTGGCTACTTGCCCTTCGGGACTAACCTCGTCGAACCGCCCGGGCTCTCTCTGCTGCGACGGCGGTGGTCGCGGCGGAAACCGGAAGCAAGTGTTGCGTGGGTGGGCGAAGTGCTTTTCGCTCAGTCAGCGGGGGATGGACACGGAATTGCGCTTGTGGCTCCTCCCTTTTGTTTCGAAACATGTGTTCCAAGATTCGGTGTGACTTCAAGACCGACCCCTCGGTCCCGGAGGAAGCGCTCCGAACGAGGGATTCCACCAGTGTTGCCGAACTCCGAACGCTTGACGGAGCGTGGGACCAGTGGGCCAGGACTCGGTGATGATTGGGACCGGGCGTTGGGCCATTGGGACCGGCCTTTTACTATCGTTTGAGGGCAGATAGAGGGCAATACCCCAGGTGAAGAAGCAATAAGAGAATGATATCGTTAAGTCTATAGGTCAACGAGTAGGTATGGTATCAGATACCTCCTGGTCCTCATCGTCCCATCCTATTTCTCCTCGGCACCTCCCTCTCCCTCTCCCTCTCCATCTCCACCGAGGCGCCAGGTCTGCTCGGCGGTGCTGCGCGGAAAGCTCAAGTTCCCCTCGGCCTACAAGGCGCGGAGCTCGTGGAGCGGGAGTGGTCGTGCGGCGGCGTTACACGCGTTACACGGCTGGTGGAGGCCTGGCTTCCTGGTTTGGCGTTCGAGGCCATTTTCATCAACGTAGCCATCCACGTAGCCATGATCAACTCTATGTGACTCCTGACTCAATCATACTCATACCATTCCCTTCGAACCCAGGTTCCTGGACCAAGCCTCCACTCTGGAGAAAAAGCCCGTCGAAAGACCGGTCTTGGTGGAGCGGCCGGCTGGGCTGTGACCGACCGGGCTGTTTTCCTGACCGTCCTGGAGGACCGTTGGAGTCCTGTGTAGACCATCCGACTGTTCACGCCAGGACGAGATTGGGCGAGATCTCATCAAGGGCCTTTTGACACAGCCCGTGCCATGGCAGCTGCACACCCACGGCCTGGGAAAGTGGCCAGGGAAACCACGGAAGACATGGCCCGAATGTTCTGTGAAGGGTTCAAACTGCTTGTGTGTCTTTCATTTGTATTTCCAATCAATACCAACAAGAACATCCAGGGGAATTTGGACTACTGAATCCCGTCACCCTCCTTTTTGACCTTTTTTGACAGTAACTGGACGGCAACAGTTGTTTACGATGAAGATTGATGCATCAAGCAGATGACCCCGGGCCGTGGCAACAAACGGAGATTGCATTCACCTAATGGGTTCCGTGGCTCCATCAGTTAGCCGCACCCCGCGCGCTGTTCACCGTTGTTCCATGACAAGTGGAATGAGACATCCCACAATGGGTCTTCCATCATGCCCCATGGGTATCTAATTACTCAGGTCGTAGCTGTTCAAGAAATTTCCTGTCTGCATCTTCTCCCTCCAAGCTGACTGGTGCGACTCGTAGGGAATAAGGGAATGAGCCCCAATAGAGATTCCTTTTGGATCCAGCCACCCTCATTCCTTAAGAGAAAGCCAAACATGTTGCGTCTCGGCCACCCCTTCCGTCGTCTTCGCCTCGTGAAGACCGGAAGACCGGAAGACCGCTTCCGTCGGTCGTCGTCGTCCGAGGTGCTGAAGCGTTTGGGTGCCGGCGTGAACGGCCTGCAGGCGAGGTTCGAACGAGCATGCTCACGTGAGCGGTCGCCATCCGCCCCCTGCCCCCCTGCGGTTGGTAGGATCGGATAGGATCGGGAGTAGTGAAGTGGCGAAGGTTTTTTTCAACCAGGATAGGCACAAGGACTGGGCGGGATGAGAGAACAGCATCCTCATATACATAAATAAGGTGCGCTTTTGGCAGAACTATTTCATTATAAGTATTCAGCAATGCGCACTGCATTCAACATCACATGCAGAAGGTAGGGAGAAGCTTTTTGGTGGACCAAAGAATTGTGCTTCCAATGCTGGATGCAAAGTGCTATGGGAAGAGCAAAACCCAAGTAAAAGGCTTGACCAGCTGCAAGCAGTGCTGGGGGACGCATGTTTGGTTCAAAAGATTGCTGCAAAACAGCACCAGGTGTTGTATATTACGCTTCATATCTGGGATAATAATACACAATAACATAAGTTCTGGGGTAGGGTTGCCAAACGCGATAGAGCCTTTTCCAAGAGGATATGACGACTGCGTGTCATCAGCCTTGCGAAAACGACACCAGCAGTTGGAACGTGTTCGTCCCAAACTCCACGAGCAGAAATTGCTATGTTTTTGGAAAATAACTATAACTTAACTCCAGATCCGTGGGGTACCTAATGGAACAAAAGTTATAGTTGTTTTTCAAAAAATCTTATAACTCGGAAAGTGTGTGATGTTCTTGTCGAAAATAGAAATGATCTTTGTTGAACAAACTATAACTCCAAAACCATGGGACACCCAATTGAACAAACATATAGTCTTTTGTTTAAAGCTTATACCTTGGAAAGGTCCTTGTTGAAAATAGCTATGTATTTTTTGGAACAACACTATAACTCCAAAACCATGAGACACCCACCCAATGGAAAGAGTTATAGTGTTTTCCAAAAAATCTTATAACTCGGAAAGTGTGTGACGTCCTTGAAAAACTATAACTCCAAAAACATGAGACACCCAATGGAAAGAGTTATAGTGTTTTCCAAAAAATCTTATAACTCGGAAGGTGTGTGACGTCCTTGTCGAAGATACTTATGTTTTTTTAAAAACAACTATAACTCCAAAACCATGGGACACCCAATGGAAAAGAGTTATAGTTCTTTTTTCAGAACATCGTATAACTCGGAAATCCGAACCGGTTATGCTGCTTTTTTGAAAACACGCCTCGCTGTTGCATTGTTCGGAGCAGCTGCGTTATACTTGTTTTTGAAAACAAATGTAACTTATGATTCGCTAAGGCATGTATTAACGCCTTTTTCCAAGGAAATACTAGAGATTTACTTGAGACAGCTACATGACAATTTGTGATCAATATGCGCAGGCACCAACTAAAAAGATACAAAAAGAAGCAACATGTGATGGGTTATTTGCATGCCCTGGTGAATCATAAGTTTTATTATATTTTGAAAACAATCCATAACTTTTTTCCATTGGGAGTCCCAGTTTTGGAGTTATATTTGTTCAAAAAAGATCATATCTATTTTCGACAAGGACGTCAGACACTTTCCGAGTTTTATGTTTTTCTTTTAAAACCTTTTTTTCCATTGGGTGTCCCATGGTTTTGGAGTTATAGTTGTTCTTCAAGAAAAACTCATAACTATTTTCGACAAGGACGTCACACACTTTCCGAGCTATAAGATTTGTTGAAAAAGTATAACCTTTTTCCATTTTGGGTGTCTCATGGTTTTGGAGTTATAGTTTTTTTGAACAAAGATCATAACTATTTTCGACAAGGACGTCGCACACTTTCCGAGTTATAAGATTTTTGTAAAAGACTAACTTTTTCCATTGGGTGTCTTGTGGTTTTTGAGTTATAGTTTTTATTCAAAAAACATAACTATTTTCGACAAGGACGTCACACACTTTCCGAGATATAAGACTTGGAAAAAACTATAACTTTTTTCCATTGGGTGTCCCATGGTTTTGGAGTTATTGTGTTTTTCAATCAAAATTCATAACTATTTTCGACAAGGACGTCACACACTTTCCGAGTTATAAGATTTTGTGTAAAAAACTATGTTTTTTCCATTGGGTGTCTCATGGTTTTGGAGTTATAGTGTTTGTTCAAAAAATACATAGCTATTTTCGACAAGGACGTTACACACTTTCCGAGTTTTAAGATTTTGTTGAAAAAAAGACACTATATATTTTTCGGTTGGGTGTCCCAAGGTTTTGGAGTTATAGTTTTTTTTCTCGAAAAATAACTATTTTCAACAAGGACGTCACACACTTTCCAAGAGTTACTTTATTTCTTATTTTTTTAAAGAACTATAAATGTTGTTCCATTAGGTGCCTCACGGATTTGTAGGTATAGTTCTTCTCCAAAAAACATAGCATTTCTGCTCGTGGAGTTTGGGACGAAAACGTTGTAACTGCTGGCGTCGGTTTCGCAAGGCTGGTGACGCACAGTCGTCATATCCCTTTGGAAGAGGCTTCTTTTTTTAGCAACCCTAACCCCAAACTTATGTTTTATTTCTATTAATTTATCCCAAATATTAAGCGTGATTTATGAAATTCAACAGGAGGACAGAATGTTTGATATCCTGTATCTAGTTCTTTCAAGGTCCACTCCTTGATTTAGCACAAGACATCAGATCCTCCTAATCCTCCTAGCTTTTGGAGCTGGCCTGACTTTCCCTTTGCACACCCAGAAAGCGCCAGGATGTCTTCAAGCATCCCTTTTTCGAGATCCCAGGTGCATCGGGTGTGGGACAATTTCTGCCAGAAGCTGGCAGATAGGACCTAGGACGGGAGCAAACAAGATTAGGACGCGATCCATTTGGATCCATATACCGTCCCCACCCATTAGGACGTGATCCTAGTGAAGCCAGCCTCATTTGCAAATTGGATTGTTAGTGAGGCTCACAGTCTGTACATATATGGCACAAGGGGCCCAACCGTACCTTTCTGTGTATGCCGTAATGTTGCTTGTTGATTGCAAAACCCTCCATGTGAAGATGTAAGATCATTCTATATACAGTAATAGGTGCGGCTTAGAGATGGATATTTCTCTACTTTCCCATTCAGTTGGATGAACAAGCAACTTGTGCAGTGTGAAGATTGCATTTTTTTTCCAATGTGGAGAACTTTACAAGGGGATTCGGGATTCATTTGTTCACCACACCTAGTTGGGTAGCTATGTTTAGTATACTAACTATATACTCCGGTCAAGCAAGCTTATTTTACCACTGGAAAATGGACAAATCGCCTAGATCCGAAAGATACCCCCGTGCCCAATGGTTTTGGGGTTCCTGGTCCGACCCGCAGGGGAGTAGATCTTTGGATTCTTTTTCTTCTGACCTGCTTTTTAAAGGTGCGTGGCAGTCGCCAGCTCCGGGTTGACTGTGGGGCCAAGAAGCTAAAGCGTCAAGAAGCACATTATTTTATTATTGTTTTCATTTTTTTCGTGACTGGAAGTAGGCCCCGGTCTGCTGGGTGCGGCCAATTGAATTCGTGACTGGAAGTATGCCCCGGTCTGCTGGGTGCGGCCAATTGAAAAAAACATCATGAGCTGATGGAATAGGATGGATTTGGTCAGAAAGTAGAGATGGGTAGTTATAATAGTTGTAAGAACATACAATCCTGAAGATGCAAGATACGTTTTGCGCCATCTACATTTTAGCCTACATCATGAAGGTTCAACAGACTTGACATGCTCAGGGTTGCCCCTTCCACCTTGCTTCAAGCACATATGTTGATCCTGTAAGATCTACACTCCCTGAAATAATCATGGAAGTGGAGTTTACCACCTGCTTGGTGTTCAGAATATGATCCTCCAAGGGACCATATGTCATCCACGTAACGTAACCATGAAATAATCCCAGGAAGTGTCACTGCCCCCTTCCCTCCTTTCTCCCCCCTCCGCCCACCGAATCCGTTTGGGCACCGGGGCTTCGCTTCGAAGCGGACACCAGGCCAAGCGAGCATGTTCGACAAGCTCTTGGGACGAGAACTGGAGCCTCCATACACTCCTGGCCCTTGGAGGCGTTCGGACTCCGCGCGCACCTGCGTGAGAGCCGAGAGGAGACGTGAGACGTGAGACGTGAGACGTGTGTGGAGACGTGTTTTTCTTGGGCCAATGAAGAAATGAAGCTTTCGAAAAGAAACCGGTGATCACCCTGATACATTTGCCGAGCCGGTTTTCACTGGATCACCCAAAAGTCCACTGCTGCGGCATGTTTTGTTGGTTACGGAGTCTTAGGTCAATCCCCATTGGATGACATGGAAGTCGAATATGGCCCCTTGGAATACTGTTTTCTTTTACGAACAGGAGGGTTGCCACTTCCATGTCGGCTGAAAAAAAAACCAAAGACATGGCCACATCCGGTCCCGTGTCTTCTCACCTCCGTGTCTTCGCCTTCCTTCCTCGGTGACGCCGCCAGGCCTCCCACGGACCAGAAGCGGCCCCACGGCTACTCGAAGGTGCGAACGACGTCCGTCGACGTCGGTGGGTCACCGAAACGACACGGAACGACACGGATGTCATCGGGATGTAGGGCACAGGACTTGGAAAGGGATGCCGGAATCCGGAGAAGACCAAGGAACTTGTCCCCCTCCTTCTGGGACACTCTTTCTTTCCATCGTTTTGTCTTGGGTTGTGATGATACTACCAGACAGTAAGGCCTTTCCCTGGTCTTCGTTTGAATCGCCCAAACCCGACTGCGGAGGGAGATGGAGGGAGGTTTCTAGATGTTTCTACCAGTTGATGGTGCCGGAAACGGGACGATCAGTTCACGTGGTTGATTGAACAGTTGTCTTTCTATGCCCCGTGATTGATTCTCTATGAGTACAGTCTCTGTTTCCACTATGAGATGTCTTTCGCTTCGGTGGCGCATTGTCCTCCCAAAGGTTCCAGTCTCGGGCCGTCTCGTTGGTGTCGAGCTCGCGGCGCATTCAGCTTCAGCTGAGCTCGGATCGTCAGGAGCAGTTCGAGCTCTTTGAACATCCCTTTTCCAAGGAGCCAGGCCGGGCTCTTCGCACATCCAGGGCCCCGTGGCCTGCCCAGATGGGGTCGGGCCCCTGGTTCAGCTGAACCCTGGGTGAAGCTGAACATACCGGGTGAAACAATTGGGGGACCTTCCCAAGCGTCACGTTTGACACCTGTCAGACTACTGGTCTTTTTAATGTGAAACTACAGCTTCTTTGAGGGCACGGCAAGCACGGCGAGCTTTGACTTCAGGTCCTTGGCCACATCGGACCTGTTTTGAGACCCTCAAAAGAGCGGTGCCTGGCAACAGAACTGGCAAATAGCCGAGCTGGAAAGGTGCTGGGTCGTTTTGACCGGGGGAAGCCAAGCTAGACCCAACCAACTTGGAGGTGGATCGACCATTTTTCTCTGTCCTCCTTCGTTGTGGAACTTCTGAGATATTCTTCAGACATTGGGGTGGTTGAGGCTGGGACATGCTGGGACGATCGGTCGTTTCTGTCTCAGTCTTGTGATGGCCTTCTACGTCGCGTGCTGGGAGGATTTCTCGGCTTTGCTGGGGCTCTGTAGGCTCGTCCCAGGAAGCAGCTCCGCTGACGTCTAGCACGTCTGTCTGGTCGCTTTCGGCTTTGTCATCCAAGTTCGTGTCTGACAGAGTCAGTCAAGAGTCAAGAGTTTCACCATTGTGGGGGTGTCGGCCGCTTGGTGTCGGGCTTTGACCCAGAAAGAAGCTGATCGTTTTGTGGCTGCTACTGTATGTCTACCATCAACTTGATTGGGTCGTGTTGCTTCTCTTTCTCCCAGTTCTCTCGGTGATTTTGTCCCACGCCCTCAGCAAGTTTCTCTATGGGTGGGTCACGCGCTTGCCTCCCATGGCTAAGCTTTGGTCTGTCTGGTCTGCCATTCGGCGCGTCCAAGGTGTCATGATGGCGGCTAACAGGTTTTGGCGGGCCATGATCTGGGGTGGTGCTGCGCACCCCTTCTGTCTTATTGGTTCGCGTCTTCTTACTATGGTTTCCAAACTTTGTGCTAAAGGTCTTCCTTGCGCTGCTAACGCCCCTCGTGGCAGTCTTCTGGGTACGCTTCAAGCTTGGTTCAAAGCTTGTGGGCCTTGGTCTTGGTCTGCGGGTCCTGTTCAAACGGTGGTTGATTTGGATGACCCTTTGTATGTGGAAGAGTTTCCTTAAATCCAACCGCATGAAGTGGCCGAATGGTCACACGTGAGTTGTGAACGCCTCGTGAGTTGTGAACGCCGAATGGGACCGAATTCGGGATTTGTCGTTTCAATGTCCTGCCGCTCGGGGGGGGTGGCTTGTGGGGCCATGTTGAGCCCTGCATCTATGGGCAAGATTGGTGACCCGAAATGTTCCAGTTCTTGCAGTTGGCCTGGATGTTCGCTGCTTTGGCCTTGCGTCTTTTGCACACATTGCTTGGGAATGTCAACATAGATCCAAATTGGTGGCTCGTCCCCATAACCCTTTGGATGCTCGTTTCGGATGGGGCTCCTGTGAAACCCTTACCTGGCTTGCTGAGGTGCAGAAACGGATTTGGGTCACCAGACATGGTGATCCAGAACTAAGGTCGGTCGTCTAATTTTGTTTGGTTGGGGATGGTGCTGCGGCTGGCGCCGTTTTGCGGGCTCTCGTGGTGCACGCCGCATTTGGGCTGCGTGCATCGGCGTGCGGCTGTTGCCGCAATCGCTGCAAAATCCTGCTTTGCTGGAACCTTATACAATTAATGGCATATTTGCCTACATTGACCTCAGTTCAACCACTCCAATGTGTGTAACCTTTCCATACATCAATTGCTTTGGTAAAGATGCCATACTTTCATGAGTTGCGCTATTCACCCCAGGTAACATTTGGCTTTTGGTCCGGGCACAGCCACGTGGAGTAGTAGGAACACCCAGATCGGGTTGTCATTTGTTCGAGGCTGCGGGGGATTCTATGGTCGCTTCGCAGTGTGGATGAGGGATTGTCAGCATTGCTGCAGGACCTTTTCTCGATGAACAGACATTGTCAGCTTTACTCATGCACCTGTGCAAGATCAAACACCAGGTGGACATGTTCTTTCCTGGGATGGCAATGGGCAAGGCACTGTCAGTTGTGCCGTATGCACCAAGAAATGGCCCTACGCTGGCAAAAACTGGAAAAACATCTGATTCCATGCGCTGGACTGGACACTCTCTTACTGAAGACAGACGACGCAAAGAACTTGAGACATTGCTGCGGAGAGCTGACGTTGCTGCGGAGATCTTGTCCTTGATCATGTCACAGATGCCAAAGTTCGAAGCATCCAAACGAATGGACAAGTTTCCCAAAGACCTCTTGTAGTATCTTCTAGTCAGGTAAGTGCCGAGCTGACTCAAGATGGTGCCAATCAGCATCAAACGGAGTGTTGCGCCACCGAATCTCATGAAACGCCGTGCAGACCTCCCCCGGCACCGCGGTAACCGCCTGACTGTTTGGTTTGGCCTCGGCTCCGTTCCATCGGAAGGGTGGAAGTGGTGCGGCACAAGTGGTGCGGCGTCGATGTGGACAGATGGGGGGTCCGGGCTGAGCACCGACTGGGCCCTTTCAAGGTGCCATGTACCCTGAAACCACTGGTGCCGTCATGGATCTGACCTCAAATCGCCAGGAACGTGGATTTGTGGACGTGTTCTTGGACGTGGGTGTCCCACCCCTGCCAACTGAGCAAACGGCCGGCTCTTCTGAGAGTTCCCCTGCCACTATTTCTCAATGGGACCAGGTTAAAAACTACAGAAATCACCAAGTAGAGTATATGAGTTCTCTATTGACCACTTGGAGAGATGAGACCTCTCAAGTCTCGGCGTGGTCGCGCTATCCGTTTATCACGCTTGACCCAGGCCCAGTGGCCCCGATCGTCCTTACCAGCGTTATAAGGAACACTGTAGGGCTGTACGGCTTTGGTCTTTGGAACGACTGGCTACCTACTCCACTGGATTCCACTGGCTCTTTTGGAACCTCCTACGATCCGCCCCGCATGGCCCCGAAGTAGTTGAAGGTTGACCAGGAGCATGTGGGTGTGTATTAAATAAGGAGACCTCCCAGGCGTTCCGACATACAACAACCCATTGGGGCGATCGGGTGTCTCACAATGAACATACACACCCATGTTCGAGTACATTTGTTTGATCGGTTCATGTTGGTTCATGTTAGTTCCATTTTTTTGGGGAGTCCATTTGTTTGTTTGGTTCATTTCCAGTAACGTCCACGTTCTGACTGCCTGACTGCATATCGCTGTGGTGGGAGGGAGCCACACATCCCGCAGGTCATGGGCCGGAGGTGGTGAAGCAGAACGGCTTCTTTTGCCACTCAAAAAGAGATGGTCGGAAGGGACAATCCTAATTCCAGGACACCAGACCATCCAGACCATCCATGCATGAAATATGCCCGCATTGACCCAGAAAAACAACACAAACACCCTCAATGTTGGTACATATGCTATACATGGAGTGTTTGGCATAGGTAATGGGGGTGAAAACCATGGGTTTCCTGTCGATTTTCCCTTCAACCCATTCTGGGAAGAGAGGGTCGCCCGATCGCAGCCAACAAAGCATTTTTTTGAACAGCAATGCAATATAGTGATTGGATTACTGATTGGTACGTATCCCTATAGTTATCCCATTTATTTGTGGAAAGGCTGAGTCCCGTGTTCGCTTGGTCTTCGGTCGGTGTCGACCCAGACGTCTCCAGTGGTCTAACGACTGAGCGACTGGAGCGAGCGACACACCCGGGGGTCGGACGTGAAGCACTCAGCCGAAGCTGAGTGCGCTGCTCTCGGTCACCTCGGTCACCTCGGTCGGTCGCGGGTGTGCACGTGGGGAAGAACCCGTGTGCTGTGCAGGTGTACGTGTGAAGGACGGGGACCTGTGATTTCGGGTATCGAAATGTGAGGGATTTCCGGTCCACGAAATGAGCCCAGTTTCTGGGGGTTGCAAAACCCAAACTGACGAATAAGACCAGGAAACTGATACTCGTGAGGCCTTGGCAAAACGCACCGAGGTTCGAACTGCGCAGAATGGCACTCATGCCCCCCAAACCACCTTTCTCGGCGGGAACACCGATCACTCCGTTCGAACGTGTCGTTTTCCC